TATATATATATATATATATATATGTTATTTCCACAAGTCTCATATTCCACAATATTAATGAAATTTTCTCCCCTGTACAATCCCAAAAGGTAAGCTAGCAATTTTAAGACTTCTCCTACATACCTACAGTATTAAAGTAAATATAAAGAGTTCAAATATTTCTTTAAAACCAAGAAATTCAGTACCTCATGCTGCAGAGCTCTCGTTCCCACTCCACATTTTGAAGTTTTAACTGTGATTTTCCTTCTCTTGTTTTCAACAGTTCTGTTTGTAGCCAGTTCACCTTATTTTCCATTTCTTTGATTTTTCCTCTAAGTAGTGCACAGTCAGATTCTTTCAGTTCTATTGATCTCAACGAATGAACTGGATCCTGAATTTTCAATAACCTATCAGAATCTGCATTAGGAAGAAAACAAAAATAGAAACAAAATATATGAATAATTTTTGTGTATACAGGACTGTGCATTTTCACATTCATTCATATATTGAACAAATGGATATTGAGCATCTATAACATGAAAGACATTCTTCTAAGCTCTGCAGATATTAAAAGAATGACAAAGTAATACTATGAACATTAAGCAAATAAATTTGACAGTTCTGATGAAGTGGGTAAAATTCCTTGAGAGAGAGAAATTACAAAAGCTCAATTAAGAAAGAACAAATAAGCTAAAAAGCCCTATATCTTAAAAACCAAAACACAAGTCCTATTTAAAGACCTCACGACAAAGAAAATTCCAGTCCCAATGGTTACACTGGTGAATTCTACCAAGTATTTTAGGAAAATTTTATACCAACTCTACACAAATTCTCCTCAAAAAACGAAGAGGAAGAGATATGTCCTCATTCTATAAAACTAACATTACCCTGAATCCAAAACCAGACAAAGATATCACAAGAAAGAAAACTAATGTCATGAAAATGGAGGTAAAAATTTTAAACAAAACATTAGCAAATTAAACCCAATAATACAGGAAAATTCATCACGACCAAGTGGGGTGTATCCCAAGAATGCAGGGCTGTTTTAACACATAAAAATCAATGTTATTCATCATATTAACAAACTAAAAAAGAAACCATATGATCATGTCAGTGGATAAAGGGAGGCACCTGCCAAACCTCCATATCGATTCCTGATAAAAACTTCCAGCAAACTAGGAACCAAGGGAACGTCTTCACTATGACAAAGATCTGTGCTAACCCTACAGCTGACACCATATGCAATGGTGAAAAACGGAATGCTTTTCCCAGAAGGTGAGGAACCGGACGGGAATGGCTTCTCTTCCTCCTTCTATTCAGCACTATACTGGAGCCAGTGCAATCAGGCAAAATAAAGAACCAAAAGACATGTAGATGGGAAATGAAGAGGTAAAACTGTGCTAATCAGCGGGGAATATGATTACATGGTGCGAGTCAGCTAACTCCAATCTGTGGGCCAGGTTGCTTCCTTTGGTAAATACAGTTTTACTGAAATACAGCCACGTCCATTAACTTGTGTATTGTCTATGGCTACTCTTGTTGCAACAATGACAGAGCTGATTAGCTGTGACAGAGAATGTATTTATTGGCTGCAAGTCTTAAATGTGAACTGTCTTTAGTAAGACAGTAGTTTAAAGAAGAAAAAGCTTGACCACCTTTGGTTACGTAGAAAATCTGAGAGAATCCATAAAAAGGCTACCAGAACTAATAAATGGGTTCAGCCAGGTTGGAGGGCACAGAGTCAGTATATAGAAATCAACTGTATTTCTATCATCAGAAACTAAAATTTAAAATACATTATTTTAAAACAAATAAATAAAAATACACTACTTATAACTGCACTGAAAAATAAGAAATACAGGTAAGCTCATAAAAGACGGAAAGACCCAGACACTAAAAACTCTAAAATACTACTGAGAAAATCATGGAAGACCTAAACGGAGAAATACTCTGTTCGGGGTTAAAAATTTCATATTGTTAAGAAGTCAG